GTCTCAGAGTCCTTGCTTTAAGTAAATGTTATCCACAGGGATCTGAGGCACAAGCCTTCTTAGTCATGCCCCCCTTTTTCGAACCCCCCCCATTAGACTAGTTCCTTCCTGTTCACATTCCCAAAAGCCATTAGGACTTGGCTCTTCCCAGTGACTCGGGGCAGGGGTTTGTGTGGAGGGGCGCCCCTGCTGTAAGATCTGTTGATGTTTGTTTACTCCCTTGGCACAAAGTATATTGCAACTGTGATTTTTTTGTTTCTTCTTACTGTTTCTTTTGCTGTTTTAACGTACTGCTTTTAATCCTCTTACTGGAGAGGGTTTTGTAAGCCACCCTGAATCTCCACAGATCAGAGTGGCATATAAATCTTAGTATATACATACAAAGAGAGCCAGTGGTTAAGGCATTAGGCTGGAAACCTGGAGACTGAGAGTTCTGGTCCTGCCTTGGGCTCAAAGCAGCTGGCTGGCTTTGGGCCAGTCATTCTCTCTCAGCCCAGGAAGGAGGGGGCCAGGGCAAACCCCTTCCGAAAATCTTACCTTGCAGTCACCAGGAGTCAACCGACTCAAAGGCACCAAAAAACCCCAAACCAAACCAACCCCCCACAATGTGCATTCACACACTGTACCTACATGCTGCTGTTGAAGTAGCATTTCCCTCCTTATTCTAACACCATCCAAGGACAACCTCAAGGTGTTTAAAATCTCTTGTGCTTCACCACACACTGGCTGGAGGTCATGGAAAGGGCTTCAAGGGTGCTTTGTGGCTGTTTCAGATGGATAAAGACATGACCGTCCCCTCCAGTCCCTGGTCAGCCCCATTGGCCACCTCTCTGGTGATGGCTCCCTAACATACTGGAATAGCACATCCGATGTAACTACAAGGCTTCAAACAGTGTAAGGCTGAAACAATATAGTAAAATACAATAGTGAAATAACCCTAAAATGATGCAAGAGTGAAATAGCACAGTAGCGAAATCACAGTGAAATGATGTGGTGCAGTGAAGTGAAAAGGTGCAGTCGGATGGTTGTGGTCAAGTGGGAAGAAACTTTTGAAGGCAAAGGTGTTTTAGTCCGCTGGGGCTTCTGGAAAGGGGGATTACAGAGAATGCAGTCCAGGGAAGAAGAAAACAGGAGGCCTCTAAAGTGGCCAGTGTGGTTAAACAGGCAGTTTACAAAGGAACTGAGATTCAAGAACGATACCAGCTGCAGATGGAAGGAAGGGAATAATAAACCCAGCGCAGAAACGTCGGCAAGAGGTCAGGAAGGCAAGACCAACGGACGAGGGCTTTTCCAAATACGTCAGGGAAAGAGGCAGCGGGCTCATGGCTTCCCTCAGGTGGAGAGATCTTAACAGATGGCTGAAAGAAAGCCGAGGAACCCCACTCCCGTGTTGCCTCTGTCTGTGCGTCCAAAGGAACTGGTGGTTTCACTGGCCTAACCTGGGACCAAACACAAAGGGGTGGGGATGGGGCAGGTCAGTAAGGTGGGGTGAAGGAACTTCTAGGTAATTGAAATGCCCTGAATTCTAGACACATCTTGAAAAGCTGCCAGGACCTCTGCTAATGATCGCTGGGGGGTTCTGGAGAAGCAGGGAAGGGCCACAGGGCTGGAGAAAGGAAAGAGGATCCTGGTAATTTTTCACCAAGGAAAGAGATTAGAGTTGGTAATAAAGCAGGCATTTCATAAGCATCTCAAAGCAGTGCCATGAGCGCCAAGAGTCAGCATGGTTTGGTGAAAAAACAGGACATGTGAATCAAATCTTGTCTTCTTCTTTGACAGGGTCACTACTCTAGTGGACAAGAGGAACACGTTGATTACAATCTACCTTTGACAAGGTTCCACAGACATTCTCATTGCCAGACTATTAAAGTGTGGTGTGGATGGCACCACAGTAAGGTGGGTCCACAACTGGTTGGTTAACCACATTCAAAGAGTGACATTAAGCTGGAAAGTGGTAACTTATAGATTTTCATGGGGATTTGTCTTAGAGCAGTATTATGCAACATTTTTATTAATGACCTGAACAATGGGCTTGATGGGCTGCTTCTTAGATTTGTGGATGACACAACATCTGGGTTGACAGAAGACTGAGCTGACAGGAAGAAGGTGTATTTCAATTGGGAAAAATCTAAGGTATTATATTTAGGGAGGAAAAAATGTAGAGTACACATAAAAGGTGGGAGATTCATGGCTTGGAAGCAGCACATCAAAGCAGGACTTGTAGTTATTGACAACAAGCTGAATTTGAGCCAGCAAGGTGAGTCAGCTGCTAGAAGAGCTATTGCAGGTCTGGGCTGCATTAGAAGCAGCATTATATCAAAGTTGTGAGAGGTCCCGATTTCCCTCCACTCTGCAGTCTGGAGTACTGTGTATGATTCTGGACACCTCATTTCCAGAATGCTACTGACAGTTTAGAGAAGGTTTATCCTGAGGAGCACCAAAGATGATATGGGGACTTGAAGACACGGAGATAGGCTGGATGGAACCAGGGATATTCAGGCTGGAGAAAAGAAGACTGAGGGAAGATATGATAGCCAAGATACGATAACTCTTTTTCACAGCCACAGAAACTAGGACAGAAATAGTGGGTATACATTGCAACTCGCTATATTTAATTTAACTATAAAAAAAACTTCTCGATGGCAAGATCTGTACAACAGTGGAACGGTCTACCTATGGAGGCTGTGTTTTTAGAAGAGGCTGTACAGCCACCTCTTGTGGATCGCTGAATTGGTTTTCCAGTTCAGTTTGTGGAGGGCTGGGCTGCTGCTCCTTTGCAGCTCCAGACGCCTGTGATTGTCTGATTCAGTCCTCAAGGCTCAGAAAAAGTCTGCCAGCATAATGTTAGCTGCTGCCTTGATGGCCAAGCTCTCTTCTGCCTCAGAGACAAGGCTGCAACAGAAGGGCTGTGCTGAGTCCAGTTCAGTCCTTGTGGCCAGCAATCGCTGGAACTAGTCCTCGATCAACCGTGGAGTTGCAAATGGTACCCGAGCAAGAGGCGGTGGAAAACCTTTAATGCACCCAGTGGTCACAAGGACCAGCAACTCAGCTCTCTTCTGGTTTAATTCAGTATTTTGCGCAGCATAGGCATAGTGCTTTTTAAAACACAGGTTTAGCACTTGGTCGAAAGAGCACTAAACTCACATCTATAAGGAGGTTGTTTAAGATTGGACAAATGCTCCAGTCAGAGACTATGTGGCAGATGCCTCTGCGAAACCTGCTGTCCAGTTTTTCTTGTACCCCGAACCAAAATGGCCACAGAGGGCAGTACCCAGCAGCCTAAAAGGGCCAACAGGTGCTAGGCAGATCCGCCAATCATGGCAGCAACGATGCCCCAACAGAAACTGCCCAGAGAAGAGGGACATGAGTATTTTAAAATTGGAAGCAGATAAAGGTTACTTTAAGCTGCCTCCGTTTGGATTGGGGATGAATTAGAGACAAGGTCATGAGGACATAACAGCGTGTGCCAGGGTGTGTTCATGCTACGGTTAGGGGAGTGTGAGAGTGGCCCATAGTGAAACAGCGTAACTGAATAGGCTGAAATAGGTATTAACCTCAAATGACAGGACACCCCCCCCCCCGCTTTGCTTCCAGAGGAATCTCAGTGTTGTCATTCTGTTGCTTCTATAAAGAAAGGAAAGGGGGCGGGAGAAGACTAAATAAAAGAGCTGCTTGGCTAAATTAGTGGCTGTGATTTTTTTTTTGAAGTTTATGCAACTTAGATTATGACAGAATAGGGTGTGGGGGTGTTGCTAGAGGGGATGGGCAGCCCTGCACCCCGTCCCTACCCATCCCTGCTGCAGTGCTACGATGAGCTGGTATTTTCCTGCCAGCTGAAGACACCCAACTCAGCCAGTTGCTCTTCTGATCACACTCTGCATACATACAGCATAGTCAGGACAGTGCCACTGCTGGGCAGGGACTCTGACTGGAGGCAATATGGCAGGAGGGGGACTGGCAGCAGGAGTTTCATGCTGGCAAGCTGGCAAGGAGGGTGGAGAGCCCTTCAGCTCAGCAATGGGAAAGGCTCGTCGAGAGGGTTAATGCAGTCACTGGAAGTGACCGGGCTGATGTTAGACAATGGAGCAGTTAGGCTTGCAGAAGAATTCCATCCTAGAACCCAACCCTGATGACTGATGCAGCCTGCACAAAGCCATGTCATGCTCTCCAGCCCTATCTGGTTTGGCCTACTTGTGTGCGTTGATGCAGGAGCATGTGGGAAACCTCACAGTCAAAGGGTGAGGAGAAGAACACAAACCGTCTCTGAGTTTACAACTGGGATGTGAGCCCAGGACAGGATTTCTTAAACGTTTTGCTCTCAGGACCCCTTCCCACTTTTAAAAATTATGGAAGACCCCAAAAGGGCTTGTGTTTGTATGGGTTATATTCATTGATATTTACCGTATTAAAAATTAAAATTGACACATTCCTAGAATATTTATTTATTGAATCATGTAAATATAACAATATTAAATCCATTAGCTATTAACATAAATGGAATAATTTTCATGAAAAGGTCCTATACTTTTTTAACAAATAAAAATCATAATGGGAAGGGTAACATTGAGAGGGTCTTGGAGGACCCCAGCGTCCTCAGACCACACCTTAAGAAACACTGGCCTAGGAAACTCAAGATACATCTTGCATATCCAGGAATGGAGAAGGCAAAGCCACGAAAGACTCAAATCTCAAGTCCATGCTCCTGGGCTAACAGTTCCTCCTAGATCCCATGGCTCCCCCTCCATAGGATTTAGCCAAGTCAAGGTGGAAGGGGGAGGCAGATGGCCCTGTTGCCCTGTGAGTCCTTTCAAGTTGGGGGTTGATTTTCTCTACAGGAGCCACATCAAGGTGCATCCAGTTCTCCATTAACTCTCTCCCAAGATAAGAGAAGATGGCCATGGAGCAGCAGTGACCTTCGCCCAGCATTCTCTGCTTAATAATTGACATGTTACACTATGCCAATAAATCCCCAGAGGCAACATCTATATAAAGGCCCTGCTGTGTCTTAGCAGATCCCTTTTCTTGCAGGCACCTCTCTGGCCTCTCCTCGGCCATGGCCAAAGGATTCTTTATCAGCAAGACATTGGGTATTGTAGGCGTTGTTCTTGGCCTGGGGGCTGTGGCCACCATCATTGCCCTCTCAGTCCTCTACTCCCAGGAGAAGCAACGGGCAGATGATGCTTTGTCCAACCTGACCCCAAACAGCACTATCACGGCTGTCACCGCCAGCGCTACCACAGCCGGCACCACCAGTGGCACTGCCAGCGCTACTGCAGCCGGCACCGCCAGTGGCACCGCCAGCGCTACCGCACCCAGCACCGCCAGTGGCACCGCCAGCGCTACCGCACCCAGCACCGCCAGCACTAACAACCCTTGGGACCACATGCGGTTGCCCAAAACCTTGAAGCCCACATTTTACACCGTCAGTCTGCAGCCGTTCCTGACGCCAGACCGCCGGGGCCTCTACGTTTTCGAAGGCAACAGCACGGTACAGTTCCAGTGCGTGGAGCCCACCGACCTCATAATCATCCACAGCAAAAAGCTGAATTACACTCGGCATGGGGAGTTCCTTGTGTCCGTGACAGGAACTGAGGGTGCCGCCCCACCCATCATCCTTCGTACTTGGCTAGTGGAGAAGACGGAGTACTTGGTGGTGAAACTCAAAGAAAATCTCCAGCAGAATAAGTTGTACGAACTGCACAGCACCTTCGCTGGGGAGCTGGCAGATGATCTGGCTGGCTTCTACCGCAGTGAATATAAGGAAAATGGGACAAACAAGTATGTGGAAGGGGGAAGCAAAGGGACAGAGTTGGGGGTGAGGTGGGGGAAGGTACTGGGACAGGAAGGAGGGCCCACAGGGATCTTATCCATCAATGGCCTTTGAGAGAGTGTAGCCTGCTGCAGCTTTCCGGGGGTGGGGTGGGGGCGGGGGTGGGGGCCAAGCTGCGTGTTCCTAGGAATCTGCTGATGCCACCATGAGTAGCTTCATCATGAGCTGTGCTGCTTCCCTGCTTGTGTCTCTGGAAATGTTATTTCCGAGAAACAGTAATGAAACAAAGCAAATCTAGAACTTGTTGGTGGAGCAGAGCCCTTCCTGGCTGCTCCACAGTGAAGAAGACAGGTCTTGTAAGTGCCACAATGCCTCTGGCTGTCCTCCACCTGAGTTGGGAAGTCTTTGTTCCACAAATGGATTTTATCCCATGGCTTTGTATGTTCCCCGTTGGGAGGCTCCAGACAGAGCAGAAATTTAAAGAGTTGGGCTAATTGAAAGAAAGATTCCTGGGTCATCTTGATTGACCAGATCATGCCTGTCTTTCTCTAGGGTGCTGGCTACGACACAGATGCAGGCTGCTGATGCCCGCAAAGCTTTTCCTTGCTTTGATGAGCCTGCCATGAAGGCCATTTTCTCCATCACTCTGATTCACTTGCCTACATACAGGGCGCTCTCCAATATGCACGTGAACAGTAAGAGCATAATGGAAGGGTGGGCAGAAGAAGGGGCATCCCCTGGGCAGTGGGTGGAGGATTTATAGCAGTCTCCCTCTTGGCTCTCACCAGGGCTCATCTAAGGGGTTGGCAAGGCTTCTCTCTAGATGCAAGCCAGGAGGCTGAACTGAAGGCAAGGGAGCCAGGAAGGGGGCTGGGGGGAAGGTGCCTCTTAGCCCCACAGACACTGGATGACTGACTCGGCAGAAAGAGCATGCTTCCAGGAGGGGGGCATGAAAAGAAGATTTTATGGCCACTAAAAACAGGGAGAGACTCCTTAAGACAAGACTTTAGCAGTGGTTCGATGGTGGCAAAATCTGCTGCTGCCAAGGAGAATGCCAGGCCTGAGAAAAGGTCTGTTGGAGGCATAGCTGCCGTTTGGTTTGGAGATGTGCTCACCAGCTTGTGCTCACCCAAGGCAAAAGTAAGTGGGGAAAGAGAAGGGGGTTGGGAGGGGGGAGGGAGCACCCATACCCTTGATGACCATCATTTTGAAATAGACAAGTTGCCCCATGACAGCTGATTCATGAGAGTGCCCACAACATGCTCTCAACATTTCATGGGTCCCATAGAAAGTCTATGGGGTCAAGGGAGCAATGTAATGTTTTTGCCACATTAGTGGCATGAAAAATCATTACGAATCTGTTGCAGCCCATGTTTTATAAGTTTTTTTGGCTAAGGAGATCCTTTACAATGTGGCTCCCATTTATAGTTGAAAAACTGAGGATGTTAAAAGAATCCCCCCAAGAGTGCTTGGGACTCAAATAGTGGCCCTTCCAGGTCTGACCCCTTCAACCCCACTGACTCTCTCTTAGCATTGCTGAGACTGCCCAGCTTCCTCGATCAAAACTTACTTCTGAACGCACTTGCATAGAACTGGGCTCTGTTTGAAACTATATTTCTTCAAATAAACAATGAAATGGTTATGGGAATTAAAACAGAAAAGATGAAATTACCACCCAGCCAACGGAGCTACTTGGTCTCCAGGCAAAATTTCTCGAGTGAATTGAGCAAGACAGACTTGCACGCCCCTGGTGACCCAAGAACCAAGCGCCAGGCAATCCTTGGCAATGAGAAGGTTCCACCTGGGGCCACTTCTCAGACCAGGTCCTGAGACATGTGGCAGCTTGGTTACTAGTTCCTTCTCAGATCTTTATTTATATAAAATTCCAAATAGCACTTGCTCATATTCAGTCAATAAACAAATATGGAACTCAACTTTCTATAGTCCTGTACCTAAAATTAAGCATAAACTACCCAATATAAAAACCACAGTCAAGGTATTTTCCTGTTCAAGATAAAATCTGAAGGTTCCCTTCAATCGAAATTACAACTTTTTGGAAATCACAATAACGTCAGGTAACAATTACAACAAATGAACAGGAGATACTAAGTTGCATCCAAAAGAGTGATTGTCCTGAGAAGGCCCTGAGTCACATCTGGCCCAAAGCTTTCTATCTGCGGGAAGCACCTGAGGCCATTCCTAGCATAAGGAGGAAAAAACAAGGACCTGGTGCAATGAACTTGGAACTACCTGGAATCGTACAGGGGAGGACTGTTAGGCCGGGATACTGAGCACGGGCACCATTGAACAGGAAATGCTGTATCAGTTACATCAAGAGGTAGAAAAGAATGAGCAACAGCTGGATCCCACCGTTGGCCTGTTCCTCTGGGAGAGAGTCTCCTAGCCCCTAACCCTAATACCAATGTCTTTGGTATTGCCCAAGGTGGATGCCATGCCAGATATGCTATCATGGGTCCTGGGGGAATTGTCTTAGTTTGAACCTGATGCGGGACACATTTTTCAGAAAACGGCATTCTCAAGTGTAGGGATTCATGCCTCACAAGGCTTGGCATAGGGGGTCCTTCCCTGGATGTGTGCGTGCCCCTAGGCCACCTGGACTGATGGTGCCACCGCTTGCCAATGCCAAGATTTGCATCTGCAGAATGATTCAGAAGCTGGGGTGGCTTTGGTGCCCTAGGCCAGTGCCTGTTGGGCCTTAGCCTCAAGCTGGCCCTGGGTGCACAATTTGGGTTTACCCAAGTTAATACTGGGCTTGATGCCTCCGCTTCCAGTCCTAATCTGAGGTTGTTATGCCTGACTGGGCCTTGTGTGAAAATACTGATTTTTATTAGAAATATTGTTAAGCTTAATGACAGAGATAGATGGATGGAGGCATCCTATGCTTAATTTTAAGGGTTTGACCTTTATAATCATGAGATCCACATTTCAGTCTGCTGATGGAGCTCTGTTTCAAACCTTTCTCCACCTGCAAAACCTGGAATGAGTAATCAACCCTGAAGGAGAAAGACCAAGAGTCCCCCTCAGGGTCCCCTGTGAAAAGGCCACAAGTTGCTTGGGAGGCGGAGGAACAGTCTCTGCCTCTGGATCGTGCAGGCTGGAGAGGCACCTTGGGCTTTCGAAGGAGAGGAGGAGGTCGCCCTCTTGAGAACTTCTGCTGGCCCCACGGCACTTAGCAGCTCTTACGTGGGTGCTGGCCATCCCCTGCTGCTGCTGGAGCAGGGGAGGGGAAGTGGCTTCCTCTCCTTGGCTATCCCCCCCCCCGGACGGGCCCTTCGCCTTCCTCCCCCCTCCCTCCCCCCACCAGCCACGCCCTCGGGGCGCGGCTGGGGCGGGGGGGGGGGCTGTGCCGCGGGGGGGAGGGGCGAGGGGGGGGCCGGGGG